CCCGCGATCCCCGACGCCCTGGGACCTCCACGCTCCCACCGGCCTCCCACGTCCCGCGATCCCCGACGCCCTGGGACCTCCACGCTCCCCCCGGCCTCCCACGTCCCCCTCGGCCCCGGGATCCCTCCGCCCTCGGGCTCCCCCAGGCCGCCAAGACCCGGCCTCCGGGACTCCCACGTCCCTGTGCGCCGTGGCCCCCACGCCCTCCCTCCCGGACCCTCAGGCCCCCACGCCTCGGGACTCCCCTCGCCCGGGACCTCAGCCCGGCCGGCGCGCGCGGGGTTAAGCCGCGGCAGGTGTGAGCCGCCAGATGCCCAGCCCGGCCTCTCCCCCGCCCCCCACAGCTCAAATAAAAGTGCTATTGTTGCGGGCCTTTCCCCGCCCCCGCGCCGCGCCACCTGGAGCGGAGCCCGGTCCCCTCTTCACCTGCCCCGGGGCCGCAAGGGGAGGGAAGGGGCCTCGAGCAGGGACTTCCGCGCCCGGCGCCCCTTCCCCTCCCCCCTCGCTGCCCCCGGGCCAGGCCGGGCGCCACCGCCTAGGAGTGGTGGGGGGTCCCTTCTGGCCACCCCTGCGCCCTTCCCGACTCCCGTCCTCCGGCTGGGGACCGGCGGGTTCACCTCGGCGGGAGTGGGGGGACCCAAGGCGCACAGGACGGTGCCCAGCTCTCTGGCACGCGTCAGTTGGCAGCTATTGCTTTTTAAAAAAAAATTTTGGTCGAGCCACAAGACATGACGGACAGAAAACTGAGGCTCGGAGAGGTGAAGCGTGAGCCCAGGCACGGGCTGGTAAATATGGTGGCTTGGCACAGAATTGAAGTTCCTGCCTCCCCTGGCACCGCGGGGCCTCGCGTGCTCATTTGATGGGCAAGGAGTGAGAGACCCCAGAGACTGGGAGCTTGGCACTGCCTGGGGCTCGCAGGGGACCCCTGCCCTCGACTTCTTCGTTCTTAAATCCGGGGGGGCAGACTTTTTACGGAGGCTCCAGAATTCTCACGCTGATTCCCGGAACTCCAAGAACCGCTGCGCCCCGAGGTCCGAGGACCCGGGCTGGGCCCGCGCGTGCGCGTGTGTCCCGGGGAGGGAAAACCTTGTCCCCTGTTCCCCGCCAGCCTTCCCTGCCCGGCCTCCATCCCTCCCGCAGGCCCCCAGGAGGCTGAACAGCAAGGTTAAGTAAATATCTGACGGTGGCTCAAGGAAGCCAGTCAAGACCATCGCGGGAGAGGAAACCCAGACCTCGATCCGCCCCTAAGCTGGGCAGCCCCCACCGCGCAGGACTGCGGGGCCCCTCGGGCCTCACCCGGGGTCGGAGATAGCCCGTCCCCTCCTACGCCCCCCGCCCCCCAGCCCGGTTCTGGGCGGGCACCAGGGTTACCGTATTTCCTCTCTTGCGCCCTAGCTTTTGAGCGCAGCGTTTACTTCTCCAACCTGGAGAAGGAACGCAGTTTGGAGATTTGAGACTCGGGGTTGGTTGCTCTCTTAGCTCTCCCACGAGTTTCTCTTGCCCTGCCCCTCGGGAAACCCACGTTTCTGTTTGCACCTGAACATTTAGGGGGCCTGTCAAACTCAGGGCTCACCCCGCGAGTCTCACCTCTCCTCCCTGGACCTGCACCTGCCAGTCCTTTTCCTCCCTGAAAAGAGAAACTTCATCTTCCTCGTTGCTCAGGAGGAAACTCTCGGAGTTGCTCTCTACGCTTCTCTTTTTTCCACCACTCGCCCAAATGCTGTAGCAAATATTGCTTATTTTGCCTTCAAAATATTTCCAAAATCTGCTTAACTCACTCCCTCCTTCACTCCCAGAAATACTGCAGCACCTCCCTTGCTCCTCTGTCTCCCAGAAGCATTTACTTTCTTGTCTGTCTCCTCTCCTAAGTTGCAGGTGCTAAGGGGACAGAGGCTGCAAGAAAAGTTGCAGGCCCCAGAGCAGGTCTTCACCGAGCCAGGCACTCAGAAGATACCTGTTGAAGGAATGAGCTTGTCACACCTGCCCGGACCTTGCTTTCCTCACCCACACTTGGAACTGGGACCCAGGGAGGATGTCTCCTCACCCATTCACTGCGAGGCTCATGGTAAGAGATGGAGGGTGTAGCTGAGGGCAGAGGGAAGGTGGAGTGGAGCTGAGGTGTCACTTGGCTCTATGCCCTGGGGACCAGCCCAAAGCAGGGAAGCCTCACCCCACTGAAACTGTGACCTATTCCACGGGGTCTACCTGCCCATCCATCCACCTACTCATCCACCCATCATCCATCCACCTAGCCACCAACCGATCCCCAATTCACCCACCCATCCACCTACCTACCCATCCATCCATCCACCCACCCACCCACCCGTCTACCCCTAGTGCACTCATCCATTCATCTACCTATCCATCCATCCATCCATCCACCTATTTCATCCATCCATTCATCCACTCACCCACCCATCTACCCCCAAACCATTCATCCATCCACCCATCTATCCACCCACCTACCCTCAATCCACCCATCCATCCATCCACTCATCCATCCATCCATCCATCCATCCACTCACCCACCCATTCATCCATCCATCCATCAATCATCCATCCATCCATCTACTCATCCATCCACTTATCCATCCATCCATCCATCCATCCATCCACTTATCCATCCATCCATCCATCCATCCATCCATCCATCCATCCACTCATCCACTTATCCATCCATCCATCCATCCATCCATCCATCCATCCATCCATCCACTCATCCATCCATCCATCCA